GAGGGTGGGTTCGATGCAGTTGGAATTTGAGCCTCTGGCTCCAAGAATAGATGCATTTCACACCTTATGCTTACACAGCTTTCAAAATACGAAGTCAGCATTCATCAAAACTCACAACCCCTGGTCCCTGTGAGATAAGTGAGTATTATCTTCATTTTAAAGATGGAGATTTTAAGGCATGGAAAAGTAAGCTGATCTACCCAAGGACAAACAGCAAGTCAGTGACACACAAGTTACAGCCTGGCAGTTGCCTCCCAGCCTTCTGTTCTAATGAGCAGTGACATTATACACACTCTTATATTTTAAATAGATGTTGCTATATTAATATCATTGTATTCCACAGCATTCTAAAACTTACACCAAGTTTGTGAAAATTATACTGTTTTTAAAAATGTATTGCTGACATGGTTTGTTTGGAGGCAGAGGCTTGGTACCCAATTCATTAATAGCTATGTTTTAACATTACATCCAAGGGACCCAATGAAATTTATAACAAGCTTTGCTACCCCACAACAGCATCTTGATATAATGAAATGACATCTTACTGAGGCATATAGAAACAGTTCTTTAGGAGAAGAAGGCATGAAGAAGGGAGGAGAACCTGAAGGAGAAGACCCTCATTTCACGTTAACCATTACAGTATCCCGCAAACAATAATAAATCTTCTAGCAAACAGTATAAATTGTGACATCTTTCATGAACACTAACACCATATATAAAATTGTGTTTTCAGGTAACTTACACTCCATGCTTTTTTATTAGCAGTAAAACTCCAAGTTCAAAAAAAAAAATCCACAAACACACCTAACGCTATTTCTGAAAGAGGGTTAACAAATGGACCCATAAATGCTGTTATTTTTAAGGAAACAAAATCCAAGAATGTTGCATACATATCTCTAGTCTGAAACCTCTCTAGTTTGTTCAAGCTCCTGGCTTAATAGCTCAGTATAAATGGAACACCTAGGTCTTAATTTAGGACAAGGGTGCAGAAGTCACACAGCACTTTGACTCTCCAATTACGAACCAATCTAATACTAAAAGCATGTAAATTGAGGTCCCAGTCATATGATGGGAGCCTTACAGGTCACAAGCTTCTGTAAGTAAGAGGGAAGCAATACATCCTTTAACAATAAATAATAATTAACTTGATATTTGTTATGCTGCTGGTGGACACCAGAAGGTCAAGGCTTATTTTCTTATAGCTTGAAGAAGAGGAGAAGTATTCAAAGCAGCATATAGTCACAGTAATCCTAATATTACAATAATGATGTAAGGAGAAATTGCCACAGAATAAGTAATTACAACAGGTACACTGCATAATGGATTATAATATTCAAAAATATTTGCTAGTGTAGAGTTTACAGTGGCAGGTGTACTTTGTCTGAGGTTATTGATCATCAGACTGAATTCCGAGTTTAGCACACTCAATTGTTTGTCGCTGAACTTGGAAATAAAATCACAATCTAACATTTCAAAGCAGCTAATTTGGATATATGAATTCTTACATTCATTAACCATCAGGGGGTTCCTTTTTCCACAGCATTAGGAAAAACATGATCAATCCACTGAAGTATAAAGAAACTTTAATGTATCAGACAAACAGAAAGCATTGTAACTCAACAGGAGAAGCCATGAACAGATATAGACTGAAAAGGAAGGTTCATTTATATAGGACAGTAACCCTATAAAACATCCGATGAAGTGAGCTGTAGCTCACGAAAGCTTATGCTCAAATAAATTGGTTAGTCTCTAAGGTGCCACAAATACTCTTTTCTTTTTGCAAATACAGACTAACATGGCTGTTGCTCTGAAACCTATAAAATAAGTGTATAGTCAACATTACACGAAAAACTGCAAGATCCGTAACAGTAAATTACTAAATTTTCACACCAGCTGTTTCTGTGTCACATCTATTCAATGCTGTAAATCAACACAAATCCATTTGAAGTTCAGTATTACTAACAAGATGTTAAATGAGCACATAACTCTGACCATCTAAGAAACAAGCCCTCAACTAGAGGTTTAAAGAAAAGGACATTTAAAAAGAAAAAAAAGTCAGATGATGAAGCAGTAAAGTGTGGTCAAAAAAAAAAAAAAACACTGAATGGTGCATTACTTTACAGATTAGTGATAAATACCCATAAAGAGGTGACTGAGCGGAAGAAAGGTTCCACCAGGTAGTTCTCAACATCATGAAAATGTGAAATCAACATGAAACAATGAAATTCGTGAAGTCTGCCGAAATGATTGAGAATATCTGTTTTCTTGAGGACCTCCACGCAGTCTATTTGCCAGAGTATCAAAAGAGTTACAATCTTTAGTGATTATGAAGCAACATTACACACATTCCGGGTTCAAAATAAAAACAAAAATCAGAAAATCTGAAAAGAGAAAGCCCTATTCCTTGCTTCTTGACATAACTTTTAATTTCAAACTCAGCAGGAACCAGAATGATGAGTGCAAAAAGCCAGGAGTCTAAGCGGTCTAGTACAAATCAAATCTTGGAAATCATACAGTGAGAGCTTTTGATTCTATTGGTAAATAAGGCTACACACTGACTAAATTTCACATTCCCTTCTATCTTATAGCTTTCAAATGCATTCAACATAAATCACTTTCTGGAGTGCAAGATAAAGAAATGGCATTCTAAAGCAGTGACTTGTAGTTTTCCTTTCTCAAGCTCTGCAGTATGAGAGAGAGATACATTTCTTTAAAATAACATACCTGCTAAAAGATTGGTCTTGTTTGGATCTAATAAACCTTCACATCAAAATAACTGAATGTTTTATTACAATGTTTAAAATTAGTTAAGGTTTGTAGTGTTCTGAAAAACGTCATGACATAAGAATGTGAGATATGTTATATAGCATAGAAGTATAACTTTGTTTTGAATTATGTTTTTTGTGTTATTCAAACTTATCTTATACAAAAGATCATGTGGACTCGCTTTTAACACTCATCCCTCCAAATTAGCAGTAAACCAGTATTCCAGCTTGGTGCTAGAATGTATTGTATTGTTGGAGATAATGCCTTTCAGGAGATGTAAATCTGAGGTCCTGACTCAATGGGCTAAAAAATTAACATACATTTTTCAGCTATTGGACAAAAGTAGAGCTGGCAAAACTTGAACTCGTTTAGTGGGAAATGTCAACATTTTGAAATTTGGTAAACCAAATATTTTTGAAGTTTCCTATAAAATGGAAATACCATGAAATTTTTGTTTCAGAAACATCAACACATGGTGTTTTAAAAGTAAAATCTGCTCTCCAAGACCTAGGTCTCTTCTCCTATGTTCCGGGGTCCCACAGTCCTGTTTCTGGAGTCTGTATTCAAGCACATTTCTTTTCCCTCATTCAGGAGTCCCACAGCCCTCCTTCTGGGACCTATGTGCTAATTTCAGGCCCCTTGCAGCCTTAGCCAGCTTCTCCCAGCTGGCCCATTTGTAACTCAGTCCTTTCCCTCCTGGGCTGGCCCAAGTCAGCAGGCTGTCCCCTGCTAGCATCTCTCGTTATGATAGAAGAGGAAGAATATATAATGCTCTCTTTCCCAGAGCTTATCCTGTTGGCTGGGAGAGAGGGAAGGCCTTGCCCCACACTACACTACAAGGCTCCTGGTCCCTAAAAGAAACAATAGCCTGAGTTTTCCCCAAGACCACTTCCTCTCTCCCAACACCTGTCTCTGCTCTTCCTGAGATCTTCATCTACTCCAGAAGTCCAGGAACTTTAATGGAACAGAAGTTGATTCATCCCTAGTCGCTATTATCCTTAAAGAAGAAAGAGAAGACAATCCCCTTGCTACACGAAGGTAATTTTCACTGGGGGACAGGCGATTGCACTGTCAGAAGAAGCTACACACATTGGAATATGGTCATCAGAATGCAATGAAGCAACGGACAAAGAGAGTCACTCTGACAGAATTGCAAAATTGAAACAGCATCCATTTGAAAAGTCCCAACAACACAGTAAGGGGAAGCAGCGGTGGTTTTCAGTAGCAACAATCTTTTCTTTCCTTTTAAATGTCCCTTTACACCGCAAAAAATATCAGAACATTCATGTGCTTTAGTTCACCAGTTTATATCACGAGCATACACTATAATCCCATTAGACTATCACTTTCCCAATAAATAAAATAAGTGTTAGCACGATTTCAAGCCATCTATTTTCCAGCTTAACAATATAAGAACAGCCATACAGGGTATTAAACCAATGGTCCATCTTGCCCAGTATTCTGTCTTCCGACAGTGGCCAATACCAGGCGCTTCAGAGGGAACGAACAGAACAATCGTCAAGTGTTCCATCCCCTGTTGTCCATTACCAGCTTCTGGTGGTCAGAGGTTAGGGACACCCAAGGCATGGTGTTGCATCACTGACCATGTTGGCAATGCTAACCATTGATGGACCTATCCTCCATGAATTTATCTAATTCTTTTTTGAACCCCATTGTAGTTTTGGCCTTAACAACATTCCCCGGCAACTAGTTCCACAGGTTCCTTATTGAAATGATACCTGTACACAGTCATGAGTAATAATAGGTCTGGTAATAGTTGTTTTTTCTTTTAAAATTAAAATGCATAGTGTTTTAAATAGAACATTTCATAAACAAACTCCTCCTCCACAGACCCCAAATTCTACACTGAAATTTTTACTACTGTAAAATGAGCATGTCTGGATTTGCCAAAATTTTAGCAAGATCTATTGTTGAAAAAATACCTTTTTGCTTTCCTTGGAATTATAGTATTCTGTGAAGTTTTACTCCCAAGAGCCTTTTCTTGCCATACTACAGAGTACCCGTGTGACATATTAGAAAGCAGACCACTCCATGACGTAAGGCCCTGTCCATACATTTCATTTTACTACACAATATCAGGAAGGCGGGGAGAGAGAGAATCCTTCTCACCTGCACCCTCCACCTTTACAACTGGGTTATCAGTTATTTAAAATTGAGACACAGGCCTTGCTAAAAACATGGATTTAATTTAACAGTAAATAAAGCTTTGTTACCTGCATTGATGCTCCTTCCACTCTTGCTACACAGGCCACTCTATCTAGAAAAGTCACTGTCACAGGAACAGCAACAAAGAAGCCTTTAAAAAAGGCTTTAATGTATCTCCTCCCCAAGCCTTGAGCCTGTGCCATAATCTGAAAAGATGAAGGAAGAAAACAGAAACGCTGTAAAAACAAGTCTGAAATAATAGCAGGGTTTTTCATCATAATCAAGCAATGAACTCTTATTGATCAATGAACTATAATTTGTCAGTGCTCCTCATCATCTGCTATGAAAAGATGAATGTATACAACAGAAGAAAAAGTCAGAAACGTGCAGTGATTAAAACAGAGGTTATGTATCTGCTGATATAGACAAATGGAGTTTGATTTATTATTAACTTATTATTAACTCTCATTAACTTTTTATCTATTTTAACCATTTTATGTGGATTTTACTTTTAGAAGTAAGTTTGATAATAATGAGTAATAGTCAAGCCATTTGCTTAATGTAACTGTTAGCAGTAAGAAAAGGAGTACTTGTGGCACCTTAGAGACTAACAAATTTATTTGAGCATAAGCTTTCGTGAGCTACACTGAATGTATCTGATGAAGTGAGCTGTAGCTCACGAAAGCTTATGCTCAAATAAATTTGTTAGTCTCTAAGGTGCCACAAGTACTCCTTTTCTTTTTGCGAATACAGACTAACACGGCTGCTACTCTGAAACTGGTTAACAGCAATATAGCCAGATAAAACCCAGTTATGTATCTGTAGCAAAAACTTATCGACTATAAGGAAACAATAAATTGGAGCATAATGAATCAGAGTATAATGTCAGTGTTTCCAAATATTTTTTCCCTGCCATTGGAGATTATGAAATCTATGGCTAAGAAGAGAAAGAGTTACATTATGCATATGAAAGATGTAATTCATTTTGTAACACAGGACATAAAAGTTCATCCCAACGTCGTACAGTAACACATACACAAAGTGTGTAGCAAACACCACTGCAATTGTTTCAGACACCAGCCCAATGTAATTAGTCATATAAGTCACGTGGACATACAGCACTGCTGTAACTCCTTGATTTATTGCCATAACATTAATAAGTTAAAAGCAGAGTGTAAGATTGGACAACTCAGTAGGCTGGTGATAAAATAGACTTTTCAATTCTAAAATCACCACTTCATATCCAAGTCTCCTGTCTTGATTCCTGAAACTTTATCCTCTTTCATCCTTGTAACATCCCATCACCTACCACTCCACACAAAACACAGATGCTAAGTGCATCTTCCTTGCCTGGTATTTTAACGACATCACCTCACTCTTTGAATCCATATACTGACTACACTTGTCCACCATATTAAATTCAGGCTTCCTGTCTTAAACTGTCACAGTGTGAAAGACCCTGCTTGTGCAAACTCCAAAAAAGTCAGAACTTGATTTTATAAACTTATTTTTCCAGAAAGCAAGCCTCATTCTCAAAGGTATGTCATTAGCCTTTAATGGGGACTGGCTACCTCAGGGCATTGCTATAAGCAACACAGATTTTCCCTTGTCAATCATCCAGTTTGAATTTCTGTTTCCATCTAATAGATAGTTGGTAGATTTTATATGAAAGGAATTTGGTGAGTCCCAGTTCCCACTCCCATATCACAAACTCATCACCATGCTTTGCAGTACCAGTAAGCGCTTCAGGAGAGGCACTCTCTCTTACTATGTGTTTGTATGGTGCCCAATCTCCGTTTGGTTCTGAAGTGAGAGATTCTGCACTTAAGGCCAAAATCATTTTATTTATTATAAATTTGCAAGAGTTGGCAACACTGTGTGTGTGTGAAAATTACACACACAGGTGGTGGATGGGGGAGTTCAAAAAATCAGGAAACAGACCAAAAACATAAATTTAATTTTTAAAAAATATCTAACTTTGAGTCACTTGTAATTTTGAGGATGCTTGATTCATGATTTTGCGCTTGGGATTAATACATTTGTGTCATGTACAAAACCAAGCAATATGTCAGCATTTACAGAAGAGCAATTCATATATTAAATACAACTGATGGCCTCAGTCCAGTTGCTAATTTACATGTGTCCATATCTCTCTCACACAGATCACCAGCACAATCAGCACCTTTTTTTTGATGCTCTCACAGATGAGAAACAAATGACTGGATGAATACGACTGAAATACCCCTCCATCCCTAAAAGTGTTCCCCGAAACCCAGTGTTGAAGCACACTGGGGGAGCAACGTGAAGATATTTATACCTGTGTTTTGCCCATTTCTCTGGTTAAATCAAGTTCTACCTTCAGCACTTTCAGTATACCATATTTCTAGAACAGCAGTTCCCAAACTTGTTCCACCACTTGTGCAAAGAAAGCCCCTGGCGGGCCGGGCCGGTTTGTTTACCTGCCGTGTCGGCAGGTTCGGCCGATCGTGGCTCCCAGTGGCCGCGGTTTGCTGCTCCAGGCCAATGGGAGCTGCTGGAAGCGGCGGCCAGTACATCCCTCGGCCCATGCCGCTTCCAGCAGCTCCCACTGGCCTGGAGCAGCGAACTGCAGCCACTGGGAGCCACAATCGGCCAAACCTGCGGATGCGGCAGGCAAACAAACCGGTCCGGCCCACCAGGGGCTTTCCCTGCACAAGCGGCGGAACAAGTTTGGAAACCACTGTTCTAGAGCACTAAAAGCTACTTTTTAAGAAGCATTTTCATAGAATCCTAGAATCATAGAATATAAGGGTTGGAAGGGACCCCAGAAGGTCATCTAGTCCAACCCCCCTGCTCGAAGCAGGACCAATTCCCAGTTAAATCATCCCAGCCAGGGCTTTGTCAAGCCTGACCTTAAAAACCTCTAAGGAAGGAGATTCTACCACCTCCCTAGGTAACGCATTCCAGTGTTTCACCACCCTCTTAGTGAAAAAGTTTTTCCTAATATCCAATCTAAACCTCCCCCACTGCAGCTTGAGACCATTACTCCTCGTTCTGTCATCTGATACCATTGAGAACAGTCTAGAGCCATCCTCTTTGGAACCCCCTTTCAGGTAGTTGAAAGCAGCTATCAAATCCCCCCTCATTCTTCTCTTCTGCAGGCTAAACAATCCCAGCTCCCTCAGCCTCTCCTCATAACTCATGTGTTCCAGTCCCCTAATCATTTTTGTTGCCCTTCGCTGGACTCTCTCCAATTTATCCACATCCTTCTTGAAGTGTGGGGCCCAAAACTGGACACAGTACTCCAGATGAGGCCTCACCAATGTCGAATAGAGGGGAACGATCACGTCCCTCGATCTGCTCGCTATGCCCCTACTTATACATCCCAAAATGCCATTGGCCTTCTTGGCAACAAGGGCACACTGCTGACTCATATCCAGCTTCTCGTCCACTGTCACCCCTAGGTCCTTTTCCGCAGAACTGCTGCCTAGCCATTCGGTCCCTAGTCTGTAGCTGTGCATTGGGTTCTTCCGTCCTAAGTGCAGGACCCTGCACTTATCCTTATTGAACCTCATCAGATTTCTTTTGGCCCAATCCTCCAATTTGTCTAGGTCCCCCAATCCTCCAATTTGTCTAAGTCAAAAGCCTCAGGTTTCTCCTCGCTCCGGTAGAGCATGCAACCCTCCTGGCTCCCTACTGAGCTTCCTTGAATCACCTGCCTCCTGCCCCCAGTATAAGATATGCTTCCCTTTTTTGCATTTGTTTTGTTTAACATTATCAGGAGCTGAAGTGGACCTAAATAGAGTATACATCAGATCCATGATTCCTGCTGACATAGTAAGGCTCACAATGCATTCACTGGCATTTAGAAGTTTTGCAGGGAGGCAAAGCTGGGAAAGGAAGCAGGAGTCAAGATTCAGAACTTAAGGAGCAAAGTGAGGCCAGAAAATTGGGTTATCTAATTCATGAAAGCAAAGGAGCCTGGGGAAACATGGAGATAGTCAAGACAAATTCCTAGTTTAGAATTTAAAGATGTATTGTTCGAAGGCTGTTACTAACCCGTTATCACATTTTAAAACTCTAATGTGGATAAGGCAGTGCAGACTTTAACACATATTAAAGTTGTTGAGTTGCAGACTATGCTGCCACTAGCATTTATCTTGTCCAACTAATACATTAAAATACAACTTACTAGTGTTTTAAAATGTGGATACATTTTTCATCCCAATTTAGACAAGCCCATTGTCTCTAGACATACCCCTAAACTCTATTGGGTTCCTTGTTCCCTAAATCACACCATAAAGCATAATTTCCCCACCACAATAGTGCCTTACAAGCTTAGGAGTCCTGCAGGGCACTCTGCTCACTTCCTCCCAGTACATGCCAAACATACTATGACTCAAGAACCTTAAAGCTAAGTAGAAAGAGGATGCAGAAGGGTTACAGTGGTGGGCAACCTGCAGCCCGCAGGCAGCCCATCAGGGTAATCCACTGGCAGGCCGCAATTTGCCGTTCCTAGCCAATGGGAGCTGCAGGCAGCCATGACTGTGGACGGTCAATATAAACAAACCAACTTGTAGCCCGCCAGAGGATTACCCTGATGGGCTCCGTGCACCCCACGGGCCACAGGTTGCCCACCACTGGGTTACAGAAATGTCCTGAGTCTGGTAAGTACATTCTAGCTCACAAAAAGCATGTCATCTGATCTCTTAAATGAAAACTGGTGTCACACTGGTCATCAATATCATTGAGAAACACATATATTGATGCTGCATAAGGAGTTATGCATATACGCTGAAAATATGTTGTTAAAGTTTGTGTCTGGAGGTTGGTCATCAGTATAGGTGAAAAACAGATTTTCTGTCAGACAAGAGATGCGTATCCATCTATCTGTTTACATGTAAATTGAGTCACCTTGTTCACAACAGGTCTCTTATCACTTGTCTGAACTGAATGAAAACAAGAAGACTGTGAGAACTTCAGAAAGAAACTAACAAGAAAAATGGTGGAAGGAGAGAACCATATCTTGAGGTGCACATTAAAGGTCTGCTCTTCTATATTTGGAAGACAAAGACGACATCCCAGTATCCCTCACCCAGGAAGTAAATGGACAGCAAATTTTCTTCATGAAAGTGTGATCTCAACCAGGCTTCACTGGAAATGCTGATACTCCCGGAGGAATTCTGCACCAAAAAAATTTAAAGTTCTGCATCTTTTATTTGTCAAAACAACACTATATAACCATACCCGTTTCAATTATTTGGGTAATTTATTTCAAAATATCTGTGAGCAAGTCCATAACAATACAATACAAAAAAGATTCCCCTACGTGCACAGAAATAAAGAAACCCCTACGACAACCCAGTTCCTGTTTCTCTATTATGCTTTTGCTGGGCACCTCCGTCTTGGTGTATCATTTGTCAGCTGGGCACATCTTGGAGGAAAACTCTGCCGCTTCAAGCTCTGACCCCCACATCCCTCTTTAACCCCCTCCCCCCCGAGCCCAGCCACAGGGCACCCTCACCAGCCCAAACACTCACACTCCCTGCTCTCAGAACCCCCCCAGTCCAAACACCCACACCTCTTATCCCCAGAGCCTAGCCGCAGGGTGCCACTCCAGCCCAGACAACCACACTCCCCTACCCTTCAGAGCCCAGGGATCAAGAGAGAAAAAGTCTGATGCTGGGTCCCGGGCTTGTATGGAGTTTGCTGCATGCCTCCTCCTTCCTTCAGGATGTGCTGGGAACTGCAGCTGCCCAGAACCCTCCAGCTCCCCCTCTCACTCCCCTTTGGCAGTGTCCTGTATTTACGAACTGGAGAGTTGGTCTCTGCTGGGTCCAGTGGCCCCTATTGGCAGCCAGCAGTTCTGCAGCACCAATTCTGCAGGGGAAAATGAAATTCTATGTAGAACATTAATTCTGTGCAAATTCTGCATTGCGCAGTGGTGCAGAATTTCCCCAGGATTAATGCTGGAGAGAACTTTGGGTGAGATAAACTTCTTTAGACTGGAGGTTAACCTGTTAGTCAAGTTTAGTCTCTAAAAAGCATGCTATGATTTTGTTTTATATGTAAATGGAGGTTACTTACCTGTAATTGGAAGTTTTTCCAAGATGTTTGGTCCCTAGCTGTATTCCACACATGAGCACCATGCTCCTGAATCTGAAATTTTCTTGCAAGCAGCGTCTGTTGGTCCACATGTGCACCATAGCTCTCCTTGTGCTCCAGAGGGTAGAAAGGACAGTGTGTACTGATAACTTTCCAATTCCTACTCTTATTACAAATCCAGAGAAAGAGGATGGAGTGCAGGTAGTGCAGTACAGATACAGATCACCCATCTCAAAGAACCTCCAGTTACAAGTAAGTAACCTCCATTCCTTCTACAAGTGATGGTCTCTATGTGTATTCCACACATGGGAGATTAACAAGCAGTGGTCAAACAGGAGGTGGGTGCAATAATACAGAAGTGATAGCTGACTAAAGTACTGCTATTCCCACAGCTGTATCTGCAGTAGAAGACTTAACCAAAGCATAATGTCTCATGAAGGTGAGCAAGGAGCACCAGGTAGCTGCCTACATATCTCTAGTAGCAATACGTCTCTCAGAAATGAAGTAGAGATTGTCTGTGCTCTGGTGGAATAATCACTCACCCCCTGCAAGGGAAAGATGTGAGCTGGTTGGTAGTAGAGGATATAATACAGCCAGATATACATTTTGAAAGTCTCTGCACTTTATATATATCAAGATATATCCTGACCTCTTGAGCTCTCTGTTACAGAAACTAACAGTTTAGGTGCCTACTAATTCTTGTTCTTCATAGAGAAAAATCCAATGCCCTTCAGATGTCCAGAGAATGACGCATCCTCTCTTCATCAGAGGTATGCAGTTTAGGAAAAAATATTAGCAAGTGGATGGTTTGATTCATCATATTAAACTTAGAAACTACTTTATGGATAAACTTTGAGTGGTGCCATAGCAAGACCTTCTCTTTATGGAAGGTAGTATATGGCAGGTCCACAATGAGTGCCCCAACTCACTGACTTTTCTGGCTGATGTTATGGCAATGAGAAAGGCCACTTTCATAAACTGATTAGCCACATGCTCTGTGGCCTGAGCTTTGAAAGGAGATTTAGTGAGAAACAAAAGAATGAAAGCTCATGCCCCAATGGGACCTCAATTTACTAATGCTGGAAAGGTGCTACAAAGTGCTCATGCCCTTTAAAAATGTAGCTGTAGCAGGGTGAATGGAGATCATGCAGTTATCCACTGGAGAATGAAAAGCACTGATTGCTACTAAGTGAACCTGAAGAGAACTAAAGAGAAACTCAAACTTTGAGAGACTCAAAGACTTAAGGGTAAATAAATATTCCAGCACAGCAGGGACCCAGCAGGATTCTGAAGATGGGCTCAGCAACGCAAGTTAAGAGGAAACGCCTCCATCTTACTGAATAACATCTCCTAGTAGACTTTCCTCCTTTGATTGAGAATGGATTGCACCATTCTGGAACATTAGCACTCTATGTCCAATATTCATCCAAATACCAGGCTTTGAGCTGCAATTCCAGACTGGGATGCTCAAAAGTATCCTTGTTTTGTGTTAGAAGGTCTGGAAATGGGCAGATTTTTAATAAGTGGCCAAGCTGAGAGCTTCAGCAGATCCATAAACCAGAACTGTCTCGACTAGTTGGGAGCAATAAGGATGATTAGAGTTCTGTCCTGACAGATTTTCTGTAGGACCTGTAATATTAACGGAATGGGAGCAGCAGGGCATCTCACATCAAGCCCCTGCCCAGAACAACTAAGAGTATATGTTAGTTGCATATGGACAGCAACTAAGAGTATATGTGAGCAGATCGATAACTTTCACAGTAGGAGTACAAACAGTACAGAATTTTAGGTTTGGACTTGTGAATCAAGGTGAAAATGAATATGGAGTTTTAGGAGCAGGCACTATAAGAGAACTCTAGGGTGGATAAAAATCAATTTAAATAAAAAACAGGATTTTTTTAATTTAAAACAGATTTTTTTGATAAAATGCTTTTTAAGGAAAAATCTATCTAAAGATAGTTTTAGATAAGATACATTATAGCTCAAAGATATCTCATCATCGAATAGGAATTCGAAATTCTAATTCTATAGTAGGAGGCAATATATTCATGTAATGTTTAAGAAAAATTTTGTAAATGAGTTCCAAGAGTTCATGGATTAGGGACCCCAATCTTATGGGGTTCCAGGGGCTTCTGAATCGATTTAGGTTAATCTACCCAATGGCACTTAGTGCTCAGTCTAGAAGATACCATCAGAGATGCTTAGTTTTGCAGTTCTCAAACTGTGGATTTGTCTCTCCAGAGATAACATGCTTGTTAACAGCAAAAATGTTTTAAAATAAATAACTAATATATAGAGGTGAGAAATAACAGACCACAACCCTACTGTCCTCTGCAAATTTGTGTACACAGAGTTAATCCCTTACCTCTCTCTAAAAGTGCAAAGTTTCAAAAAGTTCAATGAACAGAAGATTGTTGGGGGCAGAATACATCAGGACAAGGAAAAGAAGTCTGGAGATAAATGTGAGAAGGGAGGGATAGGCAGTAGAAACAAAAGTAAAACTGTTTGAGCAGCATATTCCAGAAGTCTTGAGGTCTTTCTGAGTGTAGCCTTCATTGATTTGAGATCTCTCACTAGAACGGAAAACCTATAATGGCAGCATGCCATAAAAGAGACACAGTTTGGGAATATTTTAATGAAGTTCCTCTACCTGTGGGTAAGAGGCATGCATGCAAAATGCAAACAGTGCAAAAAAGAAATGCAAGGCCTGCTTGCCTGTACGAAACAACATCATGAGAAGTGTTTCTTCTCAGGAGAAAGCTGTGTTGAATATGATGGAAGGAACATGTCTCAACTTGCAGGATCTTCAGATTGATTAACTTTTTTATTTCATACTTCTTTCTTAAGGACTGCCTGTCTTCCTTCTGGACTATTCTTCAATTCTCATGTTTGAGCAAAAAATATAGTTGTTACTCTATGGTACTATCATTTTAGATGCAGTTGTGATGAAAAATAAATAGCTGAAATAGGCAGATCTTCCTTTTATGATTTCACCTTTAAAGTAGTACTGAATGTCAGTGCATGCAATGAGTAATACTAAATGAGCGGTATGGTAATAATAATTAAATAACTGCACTGACTTATTTTGTTTAGGAGAATCCATCCTCAACATACAGGATTCTGAACACTATCCACCTTCAAGATCACGATCATTTTCTATAGTTTCAGAGTTACCTGCCAATGTTAGTGTTTCAGTCACATCATATATAGCCACAGTATATCACCTGTAGCAAAAAAAAAAAAAAAAAATCTCCATCATCCAGAAACAGCCATAGATAAATTTGTCATAAGAACCATCAGATTACAAAACGAGGTAATTGATGAAAATATTGCCCAGTTTGTTTATGCAACAAACTCTCCTTTCCGTATAATTGAGAACGCATACTTCATTAATATGGTTCAGTCATTAAGACTAGGATACAGTCCACCCAACAGAGCAGATGTCGCAGGCAAATTGCTGGATAAAGTGTATAAAAAGAGGAATTGAGCAGTGTGCAAGAGGTCTAGAGGGTAAAATTATTAACTTGAGTCTTGATGGGTGGAGCAATGTCCACAATGATCCTGTTGTACGTGCTTGTGTGACAACAGAAGAAGGGAATGTCTTCCTTACAGAAACAATTGATACATCAGGAAATGCACACACAGCAGAACACTTACAAGTAGCAGCAGTAAAAGCTATAACAAACTGGGGGGGAAATTCAAATGTCTAGTACGCAGCTTGGTCACAGACAATGCTGCTAATGTATCCAAGATGAGAAGAAATTATTTAGAAGAGAGTCCGAAGCTAACATACAGTTGCAGTACTCATTTGATGAACCTCCTAGCCAAAGACTTCAGTGTTCCAGAAATAAAGGCTAATGTTCTTGAAATTGCAAAATATTTCCGTAACAACCACTTTGAAGCAGCTGCTCTGAAAAAATGGGAGGAACCAAGCTAACTCTCCCACAAGACACGCGATGGAATTCATTAGTGGATTGTTTTGAGCACTATATCAAGAACTGGCCTAATCTGATGACAGTTTGTGAAAAAAAATCATGAAAAAATAGATGGCACTGTCACAGCCAAAGTTCTCAACATTGGGCTT